TGTAAGACCATTATTGTGGAACAAGAATGAGGATGTAAGGGTGGAAGCAGAGAGTGAGGATGTGTTTAATGATAGATAGGGTCGCACAATTTGATGGGTGGAGGGGTGGGGAAGTGAAGGAAATGGGAAAGATCCAGTCTGAAAAACAATGTATATGAACTTTGTAAATTAACCAGTATAAAATAAAAATTTTTAAAAAGACATTGGAAGATGGTTGTGTGAGGTGGAGAGCGTGTGTATGTCTATATAACTCTTTATCCTGAGTATATACATTTGTATGCTAAAAGAACTTGAATGTATTTGTTTTTTAATTTTTATTTTTATTTATTTTTTTTGTGCATGCAGTGTCAAATCGGATCTCACTGGTACAGGAGGAGATTGTCCCTCCTTCTCCAGTAGGGCATCTGGTGGATTTGAACGGCTCACCCTCTGGGATTGCAGTGCAGCTTTTTGCCACTAGGCCACCAAAACTCGCCAGAACTTGAATACATTTATTAAGAAAGATAAAGTAAATGGATGATTAATTATGGATGGTAGAAATAGAATGATGTTTATTCTCTTTTCTACATTTTTTTAATATCTTAAAATAAGTTGGTGATGATATTGATTCTGCATTTAAAAAAACAATTATCTTAACATGTGAATAGGAAATCATTCTAGAAAAAGTATATAGGCATTGTGTTAAGTTTCTTACTTATTCTTTCATAAAAGCTAATACTTTTAATAGATCTGATACTTTGTTAGCTGCAAATAGCTCTTACGCTATATGGACATTTTTATTCTAGTTATATTTATAGTTGTTAGTGTAGCTAATTTTTACCCATATTATTGATTCTTAGGCTTATAATCATTGCTGTGGAGCTAATTTATACGACTTGAGACTCCAAAACTGAGTATTTCTGATATGTTATAGTTTCCTTTGGCAAAGCATAGTAAAAATGCCATTACTCTTGAGTGGGAACTGACTCTTAGCTGTCACACCAACGGGTTTCTGAAACTGTAGCTCACATGGGAGTAGATTACCCATCTCATCTTTCTCCTGAGGAACTGCTAGTGGATTCGAACATCCAGAGGCACTGCCTTTATGTCTTATCTAATTTCTGAACAAAGCAGGTGCAGGGCCCTTTCACATTATAAGGGCTAGTAATCTACATGTTACCTTCGTTGACAGGTTTATTGTGAAGCTACGGAGGGAGTAAGTGATACAGGAAACCATGTCTGCAGCTACATATCTGCTGTGGAAACTTGGACGTTGTTCAGGTACAGCTGAGACTCTGTCAGACAGAAACCAAACGCAGTATCACTGAGTCCATTCCTACTTGGGATGACCCTCCATTGAGTTTCCAGGGCTACAGATCTTTCTGAAAGGAGACTACATCTTTCTCCCTCTGAGTGCCTCGGGGACTTGAACTATCAACCTTTTTGTTTAACAGCTGGGCAAGTTACAAATTATGTCACTGGAGTTCCCTGAGATTCAGACCACAGCTCTGGTAACTCACAGCTATTCTTGAGGGAGCTATTTCTGAAGCAGGATTTTGGGGAAGGTCTCCCCTTTTTAAAGCCCTATGTGTGGTGGCTTGACTTCTGGCTCATCTTGGGTCCAGTGTTTTGAAGCTGTAGAATTCAGCTCATGTGGAACCCAGCACGATGAAACCCTGAGAGGAGATGTTAGGATGGTCAATACACTGGGGCTCTTCAGTGGGATCACAGGAGTGATGTGTCTGAGAATGCACTAGCAAGGCTACCTACGAAATTGTTAGCAGCATTCCTGAAAGAAGAAAGACATGAAGACATGAAAGCTCCTTTGCCTCTATTTTCTTTAATAGATGAGGTACTTTAAAAATTAATCTTTAGAAATTAATACAATAAATTGTGCAATTTATTGGGCCAGTAAGTTCAACGTAAACTCCCCCCCCCCCCAGTGAGAGTCAGTGTAGTTTAGGGAGAGTAAGGGGGAGTAATGGTCTAATAGAGAAAGTGGTAAGACTGGGCCCAGCCCTGGTCTTGAAACAGCTTGCTGCCATTGAGTGAGTCTACAGCCATTATCTGGCTGTGGTGCTTTTGTATATCAATGAATAAAATAGATTTAATTTTAAAAAAGATTCTGAATGCATTTTATAGACATCATTAGTAGGATTTTTGGTTTAGTTTTGTGCCTGAGGGGATGAATGAAGAGCCCTGGTTGCAGAGTTGATAGGGAGTTGCATTAAACCCAAAGGCCGTGAGTGCCTCTCTGGCTGTTTGAATTCACCAGTGACTCCTAGGGAGAGGGATGAGCAGACTCCTCCCAAATGACTTACAGCCTCTCACACCCATTGGAAGGTCAGCTGTGAGTCAGTCCCCACTCAACAGCAATGAGTGCGAGTGGTCTTTAGAGGAGCTTTGGTGATGTCGGCTGTATCAAGCTACCCTGGCTAAGCTTCTCTGTTCTTTGGCAATTCACATTCACCAAGGCTTCTCCCAATGTGATGTTATTCACAGTCTCAGCAACCTGGTGGAGGGTGACTGTGTGAATTTGAACTGACTCACTAGCAGTGATTTTGAGAGTCAAAAGTTTAGAGAACACAGGGAAAGAGGCCAAGAACACTGAACCCAGTTTGTGCAGGCTCAGGAGTATACCTGGTGGGTTTTGATTGAAGGGCATTGACAACTTACAGATGAAAACTGGTGTGAAATAATGTAAAAATATTTGATACAATGGAGGAAAAGACATAGAGATTTATTGGAATACATGAGTGTGTGCTTATATGTGTGTTCTGCTTTGACTACTTCCTAACTATATGGACCATCCAAAAAACAAAACAAAACAACAAAAATCAACAAACCAGAAAACCCAAATCCATTGCCATCGGGTAGATTCAGAGTAACAGTGATCGCGTAGGACAGAATAGAGCTGCTCGTGGGTTTCCAAAGCTGTAATCTTGATGGAAATAGATGGACCTCATATTTTTCCTTCGGTGGATTTGAACCATAGACCTTTTAGTTAGTAGAATGCTTTTGCCCATAGTGACACCACAATGCCATTTCCAAACCCAAGCCCTCCATGGCCCCAGTTAGGGAGCACTCCTGGTAACCATCCATCAGGATTTTGATGCTGCAAATCTTTACTGAAGGAGACTGTTCATCTTTCTCCCCTGATGCAAATGAAAATGTGCGGCCCTTGCTCAAAGTTGGATTTTTAGAAGTTTATTTTTTTCTTTTTTTTTAAATTTTATTTTATTATTTTTGTGTGCGTGTACCGTCAAATCAGATCTGACTGGTACAGGAGGAGATTGCCCCTCCTTCCCCGGCAGAGCATCTGGTGGATTCGAACCGTGCACCTCTGGGATTGTAGTTGCAGCTTCTTGCCACTAGGCCACCAGAGCTCCCCAGAAGTTTATTTTTTTAATGTAGATTTTTTTTTCTCCACTCTTTCCTTCATTGTCATTATGTTTTCTACAATCACTTGCATACATTGTGCTATACAAAACTAATCACCATTGGACAATGCCCACCCTGTCTTTTCAGGTACCCCCCAAATCTTTCCCGTTTCCTTTACCCACCTCCCTCCACTCACCAAATTTCATAACTCTGTAATTTCCCCCCACCCATCCTCATCCCTCTGCTCCCACCCCTTCTCCATTTGGATCTCCATGCACATTTTACTAGTGATTCTTCTATTTTTACAATAATGCTCTTGTGTAGTATTTGTTCTTCAGAGATTGTGTTAGTCAGCATAATGCCCTCTATTCTCTCTCAAGCTGTGTAGTATTTTTCAAAATTGTGGCTCCTGAGTGCTGTGTAGCGTTACTGTGTGAATGTACTACAATTTCTCAATCCATTCAGTTGTGGTTGCACATTTGGGCTATTTCCATGTTCTTGTGATGGTGAATAACTGCTGAAAACAAAAAATGAAGTGGGAAGCACATCACCTCCTGACCTCAAAACCTACTACACAGTGGTAGTAACCAAAACAACATAGTACTGATACATAGACCAATAGAACAGAATCGAGAACCCAGATGGCCCTGTCTATCTATGGTCAACTGATATTCAATGAGGAAAGTAAAACCTATCCAGTGGGAAAATGGCAACCTCTTCAACAATGGTGCTGGCAAAACTGGACTGCTCCCTGCAGAAAGCTGAGGCAGCATCCACATCTCACAGTATACACAGAAATCAACTTAAGGTGGATCCAGAGACCTGGGGGTAAAGCCCTAAACCATGAATATCATTAGAGACAAACTGGGACCAAGGTTAGAAGGCTTAAAGAGGCTGACAAATACAAGCAGAAATGCACAATCTGGAGAGGATAAAAATTGATGAATGGAACTTCTAGAGATTAAATCCCTGTGTATATAAAAAAACCCTTTTCCAACAGGATGAAAGAAAACCTACTGACAGAGAAAAAGTTCCCCACAAAACGTTTGACAATACCATCTCATACAAGGTTCTCATAACGAAAGTTTACAGAATACACCTGCCCCTCCACAAGAAAAAGACTGATAACCTAATTACAAAATGGACAAAAGACATGGAAAGAATTTTCATATTCAGATGGCCAACAGAAACATGAAGAAATACTCAATATCACTGGCAATAAGAGATGGAAATCAAAGCCACAATGAGATGCCATCTCACTCCATTAGCAGTGGCAAAGTTTAGCAGGACAGCAAGCAATAAATATTGGAAAGGATGTGGAGAGGTGGGAACTCTCATACACTATTAGTGGGATTTTAAACTGGTACAACCACGGTAGGAAGCAGTTTGACATTTCCTCAAAAAGCTGACCATAGAAACCCTGTATGACCCAGCTACCCCTCTGCTAGGAATGTACCCTAAGGAAATTAGAACTGAGACATAAACAGAGATTGGTTCACCAATGTTCATAGCCGTGTTATTCCCTTGTTCAAAGTTTATTAATGCTTTTAAAACGGTATAGCCTCACATGGGGCTAATTTATTTCCTTGCTTTGAACCTGATGGTTGATACTCACAGGGTCCCTGTCTGCTTTTCCGCAGGAAGGAGATGGAGGTACTAGAGCGGTCCGGCTCCCTGAAGGGGTCACTGAGCCGACAAGAGCAGCTGTCCCTCATCAGCGGCTGCTCTGACATAAAGGAAGCAGTAGAGGGCGCCATGCACATTCAGGTGAGTCAGCCTTGTGCCTCAGTCTTGTAGGGACCCAAGAGGTGGCTCCCAAAATCTTTGGAAGAAGTGGTAGATAAAAGGCAGGGAAGCTTTGGGCATTTGGTACCTTCAAAGCCAGAATTACGTTTCATGTGATAGAAAATGCCAGTCTGAAAGCATCCTTTACACAGGCTGTCACCAAACTGCTGTCGTGATGTTTTATGTCAGGAGTTTTAGAATTGAGAGCAAAATGTACATGTGTGGGTACATTTACAACTAACACCTAACACTTTTTATAAAAATAGGGTAGGTTTTTTACGAAAATAAATTCTTTTTGTTAAATACTGATTGTACTTATTGTGCCCTAAAAGTCCCCCAGAATGTTACTCTATTGACCTTTTTTATTGGTTTCACTATTTTGTTTTAGTATCCCATTAAATAAGAGATTGTATTCTTGTTCTTGTTAGATAGTTTGAGCCTAAAGAGATTATAGTAAAGGAACATTTCTTATAGCATTTGTATTTAGTCTTTTTTTTTTTTAATTT